TGAAAAACTTACCCAAACTTCCTCGAATATCGAAATGTCGGGGGTATCGTTATATTAGGACTTTGCGAAAAAGAAGACCAATATTGATATAACCCAACTAGAAAGTTGATTAATGGACGGTCATGGGCATATATCGTCTTAGAATTTTACAATGAGCAAGAATATTGGTCTGTTACCGTACTGCAAGAATCTACTCGATTTTACTATTTTCTTTGATATCATAAAGGAAAATTCGTTATCGTATTAAAAACTAGTAGATTCTTACAGTAAGGGAACATACCACATATATATATGGGCAATATTGCCAATTTGTATACCCTTCACCACACTGTGGTACAGGGTATTATGTCTTTGTGCATATGTTTGTAACAGGCAAAATGAAACGAGATAGACACATGGTTCCTTTTGAGAATATGCATAGAATCACTTTCTAAGTCGATTTATGCATGTCCGTCCGTCTGTCTGTCTGTCGGTGCATGTTAAATTGTAAACAAAGTACAGGTCGCATTTATGATCCGAAACGGTACCTATATATCTTTCGATTTGCACGAAATTTGGTACAGCCTAATCATTTAGGTCTAGAATGATGTCTGCCAAGTTTCGTGAAAATCGGTCCAGATTTAGATATAGCTCCCATATATAGTTTCGTCCGATTTCATGTAAATGGTGCACCAAAGTCCCTATATATCCTTCGATTTACACGAAATTTGGCATAACGTACTGAATTAAGCCTAGAGTGATGTCTGCCAAGTTTCGAGAAAATCGGTCCAGATTTAGATATAGCTCCCATATATAGTTTCGTCCTATTTCATGTAAATGGTGGCCAAAGTCCCTATATATCTTTCGATTTGCACGAAATTTGGCACAACGTACTGAATTGAGCCTAGAATGATGTCTGCCAAGTTTCGTGAAAATCGGTCCTGATTTAGATATAGCTCCCATATATAGTTTCGTTCGATTTCATGTAAATGGTGCACCAAAGTCCACATATATCTTGCGATTTGCACAAAATTTGGCACAACGTATTGAATTGAGTCCAGAATGATGTCTGCCAAGTTTCGTGAAAATCGGTCAAGATTTAGATATAGCTCCCATATATAGTTTCGTCCGATTTCATGTAAATGGTGCACCAAAGTCCGTATATATCCTTCGATTTGCACGAAATTTTACATAACGTACTGAATTGAGCCTAGAATGATGTCTGCCAAGTTTCGTGAAAATCGGTCCTGATTTAGATATAGCTCCCATATATAGTTTCGTCCGATTACATATTTAAATGGTGCACCAAAGTCCCTATATATCCTTCGATTTGCACGAAATTTGGCATAACGTACTGAGATGTCTGCCAAGTTTGTCTGAGATGTCTGCCAAGTTTCGAGAAAATCGGTCCAGATTTAGATATAGCTTCCATATATAGTTTCGTCCGATTTCATGTAAATGGTGCACCAAAGTCGCTATATATCCTTCGATTTGCACGAAATTTGACATAACGTACTGAATTGAGCCTAGAATGATGTCTGCCAAGTCTCGTGAATGTCGGTCCTGATTTAGATATAGCTCCCATATATAGTTTCGTTCGATTTCATGTAAATGGTGCACCAAAGTCCACATATATCTTGCGATTTGCACGAAATTTGGCATAACGTATTGAATTGAGTCCAGAATGATGTCTGCCAAGTTTCGTGAAAATCGGTCCAGATTTAGATATACCTCCCTTTTATTATAGATTGATTTTAAGTAATTGACGCACCAAGGAACCAATAGACTGATAGGAACAAAACGTTCTGAAATTACTATAACCTAACCTGTGATATGTTTGTTTGAAATCGCTTATGTTTGGGTAGAGCTTCCATATGTATTTTCGCCCGATCTCAAGTAAATTGGGCAGCACACTCCTCATATAGTCAGATTGCCATCAAATTTTGCACAACTTACAAAATTGAGCATAGAATTACGTAGTTGCGTTTTCTAGAAGTACAGACATAGCCCAATATTTGTTTGAAGTCGATTTACATACTTTATGGATAGATCTAGGTAGATTCACATTTAGATAAATATCACATATTTTATTTCATCCAATTTCATGTTAATAGTCCTGTTTAATATACCCATAGTGGTGAAGGGTATCATATAGTCGGCCCCGTCCGACTTTACTACTTTCCTTACTGGTTAATATTCCATTTTCAAAAAATCGATTTTTTTGTTTTCGTAGTACATCAATAATTTTTGGTACACATTTAGAGAAAAGTATCCCGACTTCGTATTCGTTCGCGATCAAAATTTTGGTTGATGCGCGCAGAAGTTGTCGTGGTTTTAATTTTTGGCAAAAGAAACAAATCTTAAAAATATTATATTGACCAAACACGTTGATATACGACTTCATTCGTAAAATATAAATATGCAGATTTTATACAAACGCGAAATATGAGAAAAATAATAAAAATTTTGAAGATTACGTCATTGTTTTCATTACCTACATAATCTAAAGACCACAACAAATCAAATGATATCAAAATTACACAAGACTGTGTAGCGGTTTTAAATTACAGCGACAACAAAACAGTATATTGAGGAAAATTATTTGTTTTTGGTTCGAAGAAATAATGTCGTCATATTCATTTTTATAATTTTATGCAGGAAATTTAAGAAAAATGATTGGGTTATGGTTCTATCTTACCCGAATTTCACCGAAAAATTGACATATATAAAAATAATCACATTTTGTGTATAAGTATACATTTTGCGGATTATACCAAGACTCTTGATAAATCTTGGGGTTCTATAACTAGGAATAAATCTTAAAATAAAATTATTTTATGAAACTTACTTTTTAAACTACGTGTAAATCGTGTAATTCCAGGAAGTACTGAAGTTTATCTTCCAATCCAGGTATAATTTGCGAAATTTCAGTTAACGGCTAAGATATACCACATGTTGCATTGAAATACCCAAAAACACGTAAAATGCGATTAAATCCGCGATATTGGAAGGCAAGTCGTTCTAGTAGACAGAACGGCGGGAACCGCATTCCTTACTGAATAGCCGCAAAAATAGTTTTTTAGAAATTTGATCGCACAAAATGTTCACATTTGGATGAGTATTACTGCGAAGCTGTGCATACTACATACACAATTTACATGAAATCGGACGAAAATATATATGGGAGCTATATCTAAATCTGGACCGATTTTCACGAAACTTGGCAGACATAATTCTAAGCTCAATTCAGTACGTTATGCCAAATTTGGCATAGGGACTTTTCCCAATTTCAATAGGGTTCGTCCTTGGGCCGAATAAGTGACCTATGCCAAATTTCATCTAATTCGGATCATAAATGCGACCTGTAGTTTGTTTACAATTTAACATGGACAGACGGACGGACGGACATGCATAAATCGACTTAGAAAGTGATTCTATGCATATTCTCAAAAGGAACCATGTGTCTATCTCGTTTCCTTTTGCCTGTTACAAACATATGCACAAAGACATTTGTCCGATTTAATGTAAATCGTGTACCAAAATACCTATATATGTTTCGATTTGCACGAAATTTGGCATAGCGTACTGAAATAAGTATATAATGATGTGTATTAAGTTTCTTGAAAATAGGTTCAGATTTATATATATATATATATATAGCGTAGCGTACCGCATAAAGTCTAGAATGATGTGTGTTTTCCTCGGATTTTATGTAAATGGTGTACCAAAGTCCCTATATGTCTTTCGATTTACATAAAATTGGGCATGGCATACAGAATTAAGTCTAGAATGATGTGTGTTAAGTTTCATGGAAATCGGTTTAGATTTAGATATAGCTCCTATATATTTTTTCTTCCGATTTTATGTAAATTGTGCACTGAAGACCCAAAGGTTGTCCGATGGCCACTCATTTTTGTACAATGAAATGTAGGTAACATCAGTTTATATTTAGATATTGGTGCACCAAACTCCTTATGTTTATCACATATATATCCAAATAATCAACGTACGTCCGATTGATATTTGTTTTAAATTGGTTTACATAATTTTGTCCCATTGTAAAAAGCAACTCTATATCTGCCCAAATGAAAAATTTAGTATAGGTTGCAGAATGACATGTTTATGGTACCAATCATTCATTTTGCTGGTCCTTCAAAAATGCGACATTTGTTAGGATTGATCTGTTGAATATACCCAAAGTGGTGAAGGGTATTATATAGTCGGCCCGTCCGACTTTATTACTTTCCTTACTGCTTTTACATTAAAGTAGACACAGCTTCCACCCAAATAAATTTTGGAGGTCTATATCATGAAAAGTTTGCAACGACAGATCTATTAACCCAGAACTATTCACTTTTTTCATATACTTAAGTAATTCCCGAGTTCTAAAGGGGTTAACCTCTGCTTCAGCTATGTTAAAAATTGGCAATATTGCCAATATATATACATTATATTATCGGAAATTATTATGTCGATGAGTTTTAAACGAATTGACAAAATTAATATACCTTCCATACTATGGTTGGGGTTATAAAAGACTTCGATATTAGAAGATTTTAGACCATATATTTCAATTTGCACCCATTTAACGATCAAATTGCATTATTCTGGATTTTTCTCCTTTAAAATGTCAATGTACTCCTTACAGATAACCAATCAGTATTCTATTTTCAGTAAAAAAATTACTGAAATTAAATTATTCCATAGAACGAAAGATTTTAGAGCATACTCACACCCATCTTATGCTTGATTTTCGTCCGATGTATAATAACTTGCTGCAAATGAAAAACAACGCAAAATCCGCATGACATTTTCGTGCAGACAGAGAGTGTGAGATAGCTGTGCAGCAGCCAGACAACTAATTTGCATTTTGTTAAATGGCAAACGGTAGGGGTAAAAAAAACCTCGAAGACTATAAATATTGTTCGCATTTCTCAAGAAGTAATAGTTGAAAAATAACATCAGTTACGACAGTTTCCCAGAATTCCAAAGACAACGCATACAATTACCGATATAGAAAAATGAAAATTGTCTATTGTATTTTATGCTGTGTCATATCATATAAATGTTTGGCTCAGTTGGAAACTCGAGTTTGTGGACCAAGTTTATCGCAACTACTGGAAACTGTATGCGTAAATGGATTTAATGCGAGAGTAACCAAAAAATCCAATGGTAAGAATTTGCTGTTCCAGAATTCCGTTGTCCCAATAAAATTAATTTTCAATATTTGCAGTGAATTTAAATCTACCAAATGCCAAAAAACTGAGTGATACAATGCTGCCATATAATCCAATGTCACACATACTCTTTAATAAACGCACTGACACCATGGCCAAGGTACGCAAGGAGCGTTTGTACACAGGTGTTTACGATGAATGTTGCCTCAAAACATGCAGCTTGAATGAAATTCTTGGCTATTGTCTATAAATCCGCCAAGTTCACAAATATTTTAATTAAGACATATGCATTATGTATGTAAATATAAATACAATTCAATATTAAGAAATTGAAGATGAGGATTACTTTAATGAAGCGTAAAATTGTGTTTACCCTAGGAAATTAACTACAGATGAGTAAAAATGGTTAATTTTTATAGCACTACAGCGACCAGAGACTACCAAAGATAAGGTTTTTGATCCGCTTTATCCCCTAATATTAGGTTTGGGAAAAAGAAATACATTATTTTTTCGGCAGATGTACAATTTAAGATTTATGCTCGTTGGAAGGGTGGCATTTCGCAGTAAAAAAATATTTTGCGATTTTTTTTAGTGCATTCACTTGAGAGTTACAGGATGTTAAAAATGGAAGTGAACAAAGAGAAAATTCGGTACATTTTACAGTTTTTCTTTGACAAAGGCGAAAATGCAAGCCAAGCGACTAACGTTGTGAATGTTGTTTATGGTTCCGATACTGTAACAGTCAATTCGAAGATTCCATTCAGGAAAGTTAAAGATGGACCTCGCACGGGTAGGTAAGTCGTCGAAACTGTCTATAAAATCGGCGAAATGATCGAAGTGGACCGGCATGTTAGCAATCATAACAGTTATATACAAGTTAGGACAAAACATAGATTTAGCATGCCTTGTTAATCTCGAAGTGAGGCACCAGCGAAATTCTCACGCAGTTTATTTCGTTAGTCAGCTAAGTACTTCGCTTTGTTACAAGAGACATTTTGGTTTGAAAGGTTTTTTGTATAGAAGCAATAAATATCTTCTCAGAGAATATCCCAACAAAAAAACTGAGGATCAGTGGCGTGATCCGAAACTATAGTCTTCCCTGCCTTACCCCTCAGCGAACAATGCCATACATTCTCCACTAATAAATAGTTGTTTTTTATAAAAACAACCAACTGGGATTCAGCCTGACTTTTTTGCAAAACCAAACGGTATCCCAAATTAAACAGGCAAAAGGAATCGAGATAGACCCATGGTCCCTTTGAGAATATGCTTAGAATCATTTTCAAATTCGATTTACGCATGTCCGTCCGTCTGTCCATGTTAAATTGTAAACAAAGTACAGTCGCCTTTGTTATTCGAATTGGATGAAATTTGACACAGCTCATTCATTTGGCCCAGGGACGAACCCTATTGAAATTGAGAAAAATCGGTTCAGATTTAAATATAGCTCCCATATATATTTTCGTCCGATTTAAAGTAAATGGTGCACCAAAGTTCTTAACTTTGCACCAACAAACTGGGATTCAGCCTGACTTTTTTGCAAAAACAAACGGTATCCCAAATTAACCGCCAAAACACTAATATTTTTATATCCTTCACCACACTGTGGTACAGGGTATTATGTATTTGTGCATATGTTTGAAACAGGCAAAAGGAATCGAGATAGACCCATGGTCCCTTTGAGAATATGCTTAGAATCATTTTCTAATTCGATTTACGCATGTCCGTCTGTCTGTCCATGTTAAATTGTAAACAAAGTACAGGTCGCATTTGTTATTCGAATTGGATGAAATTTGGCACAGCTCATTCATTTGGCCCAGGGACGAACCCTATTGAAATTGTGAAAAATCGGTTCAGATTTAAATATAGCTCCCATATATATTTTCGTCCGATTTAAAGTAAATGGTGCACCAAAGTTCTTAAATATCTTTCGATTTGCACGAAATTTTGCATAACGTACTGAATTGAGCATAGAGTGATGTCTGCCAAGTTTCTAGAAAATCGGTCCCGATTAACATATAGCTCCCATATATATTTTCGTCCGATTTCATGTAAATGGTGCACCAATGTCCCTATATATCTCTCGATTTGCACCAAATTTGGTACAACGTACTGTATTGAGCTTCGAGTGATGTCTGCCAAGTTTCGTGAAAATCGGTCCAGATTTAGATATAGCTCCCATATATAGTTTCGTCCGATTTCATGTAAATGGTGCACCAAAGTCCCTATATATCCTTCGATTTGCACGAAATTTGGCATAACGTACTGAATTGAGCCTAGAGTGATGTCTGCCAAGTTTCGAGAAAGTCGGTCCAGATTTAAATATAGCTCCCTTAGATTATGGATTGATTTTAAGTAATTGACGCACCAAGGATCCAAGGAACAAAACGTACTGAAATAAGTATAAACTAACCTGTGACAAGTTTCGTTGAAATCGGTTCATATCTGGATATAACTTCCATATGCATTTTCGCCTGATTTTAAGTAAATTGAACATCAAACTCTTCATGTTAGTCAGATTGACATCAAATTTTGCACAACATACAAAATTAAGCATATAATTACGTAGTTGCGTTTTCTAGAAGTACAGACATAGCCCAACGGATGACCGATTGATATTTGTTTGAAGTTGATTGATCTAAGTCGATTCACATTTAGATAAATATCACATATTTTATTTCATCCAATTTCATGTTAATAGTCCTGTTTAATATACCCATAGTGGTAAGGTGTATCATATAGTCGGCCCCGTCCGACTTTACTACTTTCCTTACTGTTTTTTTTTTTTTTTTTGTAAATTTTACTAGCTTTAGCGTAGCATTAGTTTTTGTGAGTATTGCCATCGTTCAGCATGACGTATATTTGTAACAAGTTCAATATCGTCCAATTGAAACATAACCTACATAGCCGTATTAATTTTGCAGGATTGCCAAACACAGACATGACCTTAAATACCTCTGAACGGATTGGTCTGTCGAATGCGGTTTTATAGTCGAAGAATAGGTGGAATGTGTCAATGTATTTTTCGTGGGTTTTGTCCAGGCTTTGGGGCACTGTGAAAATCTGGTCCATGGTGGATTTGCCAGGTTTGAAGCCACATTATTATGGTCCTATATATGTCATTGACAATTGGCTTCAGTAATTCGCTCATAGACTCTGAAAGGCTGGTCTATGGTGGATTCGCCAAGTTTGAAGCCACATTATTATGGTCCTATATATGTCATTGACCATTGGCTTCAGTCATTCGCTCAGCTTGATGGATACCACTTTATATGCGATGGGAAGGAGACTAATTCCTCTCCTGGTACCCTACGAGGGCGGTTATCTTTATTTTTTAATATAATCACCTGAAACTTCAATGCACTTAATCCAACGCTTTTCTAGCAATTCGATCCCTTGATTAAAATAGTTTTTTTTCAAGATCTCCAAAAATAGTAGTTTACAAAAGTAATTGCATCATCATTTGAGGTAAAAAGCTTGCCAGCAATTTGGCTACAATTTCTATTGTTGTCGCTGTTTTTGGACGTCCACTACGTGGTTCATCTTCAACGACCACCAGTGTTGTCAAAACTTTGTCATTAAAAAATTTTAGATTTTGTTTAAAAAAATGCTAGAAAGTGCTAAAAAATTTAAAAAAAAGTGCCAAATAAAAGTGCTTAAATGTTTATAGAAGGAAATTCGCTTATTGCTAATAATGAAATCTGTATTTCTTAAATTTGCTTGCAAAACCTGGAAATATTCACCTGATATCCTATTTATTCATAATCAGAATAACATTTTATGTCGATATAGCCATGTATATATAGCTCGCAATATTGAAGAAGCTCGCATTACTAATATTCCTAGGGTGGTATTGAAAATAAGATATATGTGTCCTTTATAGGGTAGCCCCAACCGAATTAGCTATAATGGGATATTTTGGATTTTCGTTGGAAACAAGTAAAAACGTGTCAGTCGGTGTTGCCGACAGATATATATTCCCCCAGCCTATGGTTTGCGGAGGTGTTCGGAATTACACACAGAATTCCGAACACCTCCGCATATTATTAGCTTTACATAAGAAATATGTTTTTATCAAAGAGGTTTCGGATTTAATTTTGATAAAATTTTATAAACCACTGAGTCCAATCTTCGGAATTTGTATAGGGTTGGTATAGATAATATACCAATGATAATGCAAATGTTGACCCTTCGTGGGGGAGGTACCAGAAGTAGTGGACCAATGGGTTCCATACATGTCAATGTTCCCTCGAAGGGACATACACCATCTATAAACTTGATCTAGGCTTAGTAGAGCTAATAGGTTTTGCGAAGTTCAGATCGGACATTCCATTAGCATGATATTGGATTTAAAAATATTGAACATTTTGACTCTCTGTGGGGGAGGTACCAGAAGGAGTGGACCAATTGGTCCCATCATCATACTTCAGCAAGTCTTGGTAAAGATAAAAGGTTGTACAAAGTTTCGTTAAAATCGGATGGTCCGTTTGCATGTTATTATGAAATTAATTTTTAGCATAATTTTGACCATTTTGTGGGGGAGGTACCAGAAAGAGTGAACCGATATTCACCATCTTCGAACTTAAACAAAGTTTGGAAGAAATATTAAGTGCAAAGTTTCGATGAAGTCCGCACCAGCCAGACAGACTGACTGACAATCTGTCTACCAAACATTATCAATATGGGTCCACGTTTTGGTATAGAGCGGTACCTCAATTATTCGGTGGTTGGATGAAATCAGTTCGGTTGAATAACGTGCCCAAATTCAACCGAACTGATTTCAATTTGATATTTTGGATTCTCATTAGGCAGGAAATCTCCATACGAAGAACTATCAATATTTAACCGTGTTTCGGGGTAGCCTCCAGAGAGCGGTCGGGGACTTTTTTAATAGAATTGATTATAATATCACATTGCTCGTAGGCTTCGAAGGCTGCCTTAAAGTACCGACCTATTCAATAGGTCTATGTGGAATCGAAAAACGGCAAATTTTTTGTATAAAACCAAATAGACGGAAAATTTTGAAAATATCCAGAAAAAATAAAAAAAATGCTAAAAAAGATGCTAGGTGCTAGATGAATTTTTTTGGTGCTAAACGAGTTTAAAAAGTGCTAAATAAATTTAAATTCACATTCACAATATCATTATGAATTTCTTGTCCCGATAAACCTTTTTTACTTAAATATTTAATGAAAGCACCCATTTCAAATGTTTCCATTGTAAAAAATTGCGGATGCGTCTTTTTTGAAT